TTACAAAGGCTTGCCACCACCACACCGGCTGGTTGAGGGCATTAAAAATGCAAAGCAGGACTCCTTTCAGCTGCTGCCACACTCTGGAGTGCAAGTGAAGATAAATTCTTCAATGAAGCATCTTTCTCTGGTGGAGTTTAGCCGGAGCTACAGAAGAGAGAGAAAAATAAAAGCCTTTTAATCCAGCTGCTCTCCACTGAAGCCTTCGCCTCACTTCTGGGCACGCGTCTCAGAGACTAAAGGGAAAACGCATTAACCCTACCTGGCATACGCAAGCACACACTCACACACGTGAATACAGCAAACAAAAACAACGTCCGGAAGTCATTCCTTTTACCTTCATGTGAGCTACTTTGACAGCCATCAGCCAAGGCGAGCGGCTGCAGAAGCCATCTAAAATTGCGCTTAACTTTCTAATTCGATTTAAAAGCTGGCAGGGAGAGGTTTATTGACTAATCTTTAAAACAAAAGGTTGAAAAAGACAAAATGAAGGAGGGCTGGAGAGCTTGTCGTTTCTCCGATGGATATCTTTTGTCATCCTTAAGGGAGCCGGGCTGCCGGAGCACTATCGCAGGATCAGAGAATGCTGGACAGTGATAAGTGGAAGCCATGGAGAGCCTGAAAGACAAGCCCTATCTCAAGTCTGAGAAAAGACACACACACACACACCTACCCTCACACTTCAAAGCATTGCTCAGCTTCTACAGCTAGAAGTAGTGCATGCACAAGCCTGATCATTCAATAGACAATAAAATAATCGCTACAAAGGCAGCATTTTAGGGAATCATAGGCAAGCTACACATTTGGCAAAAAGGTCCATTGTTTATTGTCAATAGTGTAGTGTTGTGTGAGGTACAGCTCACACTGAAATCACTTTCAAACCAAACAGCTTTTGGTTATTCAAAGCAGTGAATCCAAAAGACCAACCTGAACTCATTACGAAATCTGGGTTGGTAAATTTTTCGCTCTCACACTACATTCCTAGTCGCATTCTTATTGAAATGACTAGATTTCACCAAACAACTGTAAATGTGACCACAACTTAAAGGGTTAGTTCTAGAAAATTCTGTCATCAATTACTCACTCTCATGTCGTTCCAAACACGTAAGAGACTTTCGTTCATCTCCAAAACACGAATGAAGATATTTTAAATGAAATCTGAGAGATTTCTGTGAACAGAGAAGTCTATTCTCCCAAAACTTGGATGGTTTAAAACATTCATTAAGACATTGTGAAATAAATCCATATGAATCGAGTGGTTTAATAAAGATTTTCTGAAGAGACATAGGTTGTCTCATTTATGACCAGCTGTAATTTAGGCTTTTATTCACATATAAACATACGCCAGCGAACATACATAGATCACTCAAATATGGTAAATAGAAGCTCAACTGTACTTGCTTGATGCGCGACATGGAAGAATAACAATCATTGGTTCTTGACAATCAAGCAAGCAAGCTTGAGCTCCAGGACCATATTGCGTTTTCTCTCATTCATAGTAATATGTGTGAACAGCCTTGGTATGTATACACTCACCTAAAGGATTATTAGGAATAGGGCTGTGTATTGGCAAGAATCTGGCGATACGATACGTATCGCGATACATGGGTCACGATTCAATATATTGCGATATATTTCGATACTGTGCATAAGGCGATATATTGCGATTTTTTTAAAGTAGGACTACAATTTTAGAAAGTATTATTTTAAAAAAAGACATGATGTGCATAAAATTCAAACAAGTTTACTTTAGATAAACAATTCAGTACACAGAAAATCAAACTGCCAGTTTGGGATTGTGGTTCACAGGTTCTTAGTGAGCAAATTTGTATATGCTCAAGTAGGCCTTAATAAAAGAAAATACATAGCCCCTGTCACAATACATAACATACACACATGTGTGCAATCTGAAAAAAGAAAAGACATCTGTCTATGTCAATAAAAATAAATAAATGCTTGCACTATTCCTAGTACACAGGGTACATCCAACACGTTTTGTGTTGCAAAAACACGAACACAATTCAAGTCAAGTCAAGTATATTTATATAGCGCTTTTCACAATTGTATCAAAGCTTCACAGTATAAATCAAAATAACATAACAATGTTTGTTTCTTAGTGGAAAAAACATCCACGTTAGGTAGGGCTGATCAATGGTATTAATGATTGGTTAATTAATTTGAATATCCCCAATTCCTAAAGGAAACATTGAGGAACAAATATATAAATAGTCAGTTAAAGAAAATACATAGCCCCTTACTGTGACATCTAGGCTAATGCATAACACATAAGGTGCAATCTGAGGGGCAATCTGTCATTAAAAAAATGCTTGCACTATTATTCATACAGGGTACATCCAACACATACCGTAAAACTTCAAATAATAGCGAGTCCCATATAGACGCCGGTCTCTTTTACACGCCTGATGTGGCGAGTGGCGACAGGTTTGGGTAAATAAAGGCCAGTCTCAAATAGAGGCGGGGTCTGTTTTTTAGTTTCGGGTTGTATTTAATCTTTTAAAACCCGTCAAATCGTCCGCTTTTTAGCGGCTGCCAAAACAAATTTGTGTCCCGCCAAAGCCTTTTTTTATCGGTGAGTGATGTAGAATAGAAAGACTGCTGCGCTTGACAGGACGCAAACGAGCAGAGAGAGAGAGAGAGAGAGAGAGAGAGAGAGACAGAGAGAGAGCGCCCCGGCCGCGCGCGCGCACTCTCACGTCTTCAAACAACACGCGCGCTGTCTTGCTCTCTCTCCCTCGCGCATATTAATCAAAATCATAGACACTGTAGGCGAGGACACTAGTGGTGCGTCTCATTCTAGCCATCTAGTGGTAGGGATTTAAACACAACATAAACGCGAACCACGGCAATAGTATGAATATTTTTGCACGTAAACTAAAAAAAAAATCGATATTGCGTTTTTGAAAATCGATACAGTATTGCAAAATAAAATATCGCGATACTCAAGTGTATCGATTTTTTCTTACACCCCTAATTAGGAACACCATACTAATACTGTGTTTGACCCCCTTTCGCCTTCAGAACTGCCTTAATTCTACGTGGCATTGATTCAACAAGGTGCTGAAAGCATTCTTTAGAAATGTTGGCCCATATTGATAGGATAGCATCTTGCAGTTGATGGAGATTTGTGGGATGCACATCTAGGGCACGAAGCTCCCGTTCCACCACATCCCAAAGATGCTCTATTGGGGTGAGATCTGGTGACTGTGGGGGCCATTTTAGTACAGTGAACTCATTGTCATGTTCAAGAAACCAATTTGAAATGATTCGAGCTTTGTGACATGGTGCATTATCCTGCTGGAAGTAGCCATCAGAGGATGGGTACATGGTGGCCATAAAGGGATGGACATGGTCAGAAACAGTGCTCAGGTAGGGCGTGGCATTTAAACGATGCCCAATTGGCACTGAGGGGCCTAAAGTTTGCCAAGAAAACATCCCCCACACCATTACACCACCACCACCAGCCTGCACAGTGGTAACAAGGCATGATGGATCCATGTTCTCATTCTGTTTACGCCAAATTCTGACTCTACCATCTGAATGTCTCAACAGAAATCGAGACTAATCAGACCAGGCAACATTTTTCCAGTCTTCAACTGTCCAATTTTGGTGAGCTCTTGCAAATTGTAGCCTCTTTTTCCTATTTGTATTGGAGATGAGTGGTACCCGGTGGGGTCTTCTGCTGTTGTAGCCCATCCGCCTCAAGGTTGTGCGTGTTGTGGCTTCACAAATGCTTTGCTGCATACCTCGGTTGTAACGAGTGGTTATTTCAGTCAAAGTTGCTCTTCTATCAGCTTGATTCAGTCGGCCCATTCTCCTCTGACCTCTAGCATCAACAAGGCATTTTCGCCCACAGGACTGCCGCATACTGGATGTTTTTCCCTTTTCACACCATTCTTTGTAAACCCTAGAAATGGTTGTGCGTGAAAATCCCAGTAACTGAGCAGATTGTGAAATACTCAGACCGGCCCGTCTGGCACCAACAACCATGCCACGCTCAAAATTGCTTAAATCACCTATCTTTTTTCCATTCTGACATTCAGTTTGGAGTTCAGGAGATTGTCTTGACCAGGACCACACCCCTAAATGCATTGAAGCAACTGCCATGTGATTGGTTGATAAGATAATTGCATTAATGAGAAATTGAACAAGTGTTCCTAATAATCCTTTAGGTGAGTGTATAGTCTTCGACATTGTGCTGTTAGCTTAGCATCATGCTAATATCAAACTGTACTAGAATCAAATGTAAGTCAAGACGTAGCACTATTTGTGTTCCAAATCAATCACTTCTGTGGTTAGGGTGCTATCTTTGAATGCTGCTGCCTTTGTAGGGAGTAGGCAGCAAGGCAGCTCATCAAGTATTAGAAACAATTCTAAATGCTAATGTTCAAATAAAACTGAAATGCTAAGGAGCAGTTCCAAAGGGGTTTTTACTGATGGCTTAATTATGCCTGTATCAGTTTCAAGGTGATTGTATAAAACAATTCAATATGATATAGTAATCAACAAGGCAAGCAGTGACTTTCACCAATAACCTCTGTGAAAGCTCAAGAGAATAAAGAACAGGTCAATTATCTGTTTTACATGAGGAGCAAAGAATCAATTTCAAGTCAATGAATGACTCTTCCACCTAAAGCAACAGCTAGAGTTAAACCACCAATCAGGAAGAGCTAGACCAAGCTTAAAATGAACTAGTAAACTACTAGTAGTAGTAGTCACTTAAGCCAAGTAATTCCCATTTTCTAGCAACATTTTCTTTTGTGAGTCTCTCTCAGAACTGGGCCATGTTTTCATTTTAGAAACATTGAAGACATAACTGATATTGTGAAGCATTAGTAGTCTGTGGTTAGAGAATCAACTTTTTCTTTAGGTGGAAATAGTGGAAATCTGCAAAATCCATCCAGATTTGGCACCACAATTTCAAGGATTGGCTTTTTAACACACATTCATCATCAGTAAACTCATGATATGCTCAAACTCACAGTTCCTCTCACTTGAAGCTTCTTGGGCTCTGGGCTCATTTCTTGAGGAATGAATTTGATTGGTCCCTTGATCTGCCTCCTGGACCTTTTGGTTCCATCCGGCAGCGTCTCCATGGCGATGTCAGCCTCATCACTGCTGGCCTGGTCGCACTCAGAGCACTGCCTGGAAAAGGATGAGCGAGAGACCGAACGAGAGAGAGAGGAGTCAGGTATTCTTTTGCTTTCATTTGGCCTTATTGATTTCTCAGTATGGAGAAATCTTTGAGATGAGAGAGTAGCTTTCAAGGTCCATGCCCATGTTTTTCCATTGGAAGCAGACGTGTCATATTCATTCAAACAAAAGGGATGTTAAGTATCCCGCACAAACAATATATAAAATTGAAGGAATAGTCAAATTCTTTAGTGCGAGAAAAGCTTTTTGATTATACAGTATTACTGTCTCAGGAGCAGGCAGTTGCCAGTAATTAGGTACGACTTGGCCCCCTACACAATTTTATCTTTCGAATGCTTTCTAATTTCCATCCAGCAGAGCGGAACGACATCACGCTTTCTTATTCATGGATTAAATGAATTACTCGAATCAGCAGCGAAAGCATTGGGCTCAGCTTGACAAATAAACAAAACACAGAAACGCTCACGCACGCAACTGTGGAGCTCCACATAAATTTTGAAAGTGACAGTTAGTATAACCTTACGAAAGTAAACATGGAGGGACTTTATGAAACACTAAAAGTGGAAAACCACTCTTAGAATTTGAAACTGCATTTTTATTTTGCTATAGACATTAAAAACAATAGGGCCGTCAGTTTAACATGTTAATTTAGTGATTCATTTTAACAAAAATTTTATAAAAATCCCCTGCAATTAATCTTGCTTTCAGACCCATATATTAATTTATCATGTAATTTGATTAGAATTTTTTAATCAATTGACAGCCCTAGATAAAAAGAAGTGAACTGTCAAAGTTAAATATTTACTACGGCCTATGATTTTAAGTCAATATTTCAATAATTTACTTAAATTCATTTCTCATGTTGGCTAATGGTCACAGGTAAATAATTCAATATTTTCTAAATATCTTTTTTAGCAAGTATTTTATTTTGATTTTTTTTTCTTCTTATTTTAAATTTAACAGTTTTATAATTATTAGCCATTATTAATTATTAGAAACCCTGCTCTGGAATTGTAAGAGATGTAATTACTTCCAGAATAACTGTAATCACATTTCAATTCCCTCTCCCAGTCCTGTTCTCACCAGTAGCTGTTTTTGGTCTTCTTCGGCATGCGCGTGAGAGGTGGGTCCAGACAGCCCAGATGGTAATGTAGCTTACAGGTGTCACATAGCAGTAAAAGATGCTGGTCTTGGTTTTTCTTACAGATCCCACAGCTGCACATGCAGAACATGAAACGGTTTCTTATTTACAGCACACAGCCACATTAAAGCATTTACTTTTTAAGCCAAGATATCTTTTCACACTTTTTCTCTCTTTCAGTGCTTAATATTTTATGAACTCTAGGTCAACGTTTAAAAATGATATTACAATAGCACTGCCCAGGTGTCATAAATGACCTGCTGGCACCCTGTATTGGCTGCAAGCTAACCTGTAGAGCATAGCTGGGAGGTTTGACGACTTCCCTGGTGATCCACCCTCTTTCTTGCTTGGCTTTCTCTCTTTGGGAGCTTTCAGAACTGCAGGAGAGTTCAATTTCTGCAAATAAAGTAGAACAATTAAATTAACCACATTTTAAAGACACACCAAATTATTCAGTGATAATATTAAACTAGACCATCATAATTTGAGAAAGTTACTCTTAAGGTTACTCGTAAGTGTTTGCCAGGATAGTGCTATACAGTTGCTAAAGTGTGCAACATGACTTTTATCATGCTGCCATAAAGTTGCAAAGGTGTTCTGGGTGGTTGCTTATACTATTAAGTACATTTTAAATTAAATGCAATTAAATGTTTTAGAGTGAAACATTGTTTCTCAAATGTTATGATGATTTTGAAGATACTTTTCTTTGGTACGTAGGCTCTATTAAACTAAAGTCTTTATTAGCCTAAACAAATGCCATTCATTCAATAAACAATGAGTATGTAACAATGGAAGCTGACCGGAGCATTTGGGAATTATTTTTGCATTTCTGCTTGATGCTGTTCTTGGCATCACTCAATTTATGTCTGTTTTTCTCTCGTTTTCTCTATATGTAACCTTACTAATAGCTTCCATCATAGCTATGATGCATCACACAAAGCAAACAGTCTTTTTAAAAACCAAGAATATATATATTTTATTTTATTTTATTAATTTTTTGGCCAAACAACGTCACTTGACATTCCTGTCAGTACACCGAAAACTATTTTAATTTTGTGTTCGTTTTTAAAGGGAAATTAAAAGAAAGCATGAGCTAGATCTTACAGACACCTGAAGAGTGACTGACTACTTTCATTCTGCAACGCAAATAAGCAACACTAGAGTGAGACATTTTATGTAGAGATATGAACAAAACAAAAAATATTATGCAAATCAGTTTAATTAAGAGTTTCTCTTGAAAGTTACTTCTAAAGATGCAGGGAAGAGGTGTGGATGGGAGTTGGAGAGAGAACAGTGGCCAGGAAAGAAAGAAAAAAATAAGTTTTTCTATTTTCTGTCTATACATCTGTGCTGCATCTTTTCTGTCCAGGTTAATTAGAAAAATTATCTAGTAGGAACCGGTCACACAGCAACACAGAGCAGCTTCTCTCTAGAGGCTTTCTAATCTGAGCGTGCTCAGTTCAGTGTGCCCATGGTGACGGTCCCTCTCCACTGCACCGCCGGGATTATAACAGGCCGGAGAGCTGAGCGAGGAGATACCAGGTTTCACATCCTGCAAACTCTGGATTACTGTGGCCGGTCCCTCACTCCACATCCCACATTTCAGTGGGAATATTATTTGGAGAAGAAAGGTGTTTGACTAAGGACAGAACAAAAAACCCCCAAAAAAGAAAGAAAAAAAGCCTCACAGAACAGCCCGAACAGGCGGTCGGCCATCTGCTGAGAGCCAGACAGACTTCGCAGTCCTGCTGAGATTGTGGAGAATCCCAATGGTACCCTGAGAGGGGTCATATAACTCACACAATTTCCAAAAGAGGCGGACCTGCTTGGGGAGTCCAAGATGACGTTTTAACACATGGTGTCCACATCAAATATTTAATTGAACAAAAAACAAGCTATTTCTAAACATGACTAAAACAGCAATTAGAGAAAAGCATCTAAATAGCTTAGTGAGTAATGTTTTCCTTGTCTGTAAATTGTAACCGAATTCAAATTTGAGTCCACAGCTGAATTTATCATTCTCTGAAAAAGTTCAGATATCTGAATGAAATATGACGTCCCGATAAAGTACCACAACAAAATGTCATAATTATTGTTCATAGAGTAATGCTTTTTTGTTGATGTGCTAGTTTAGATATATATATATAGTAAATAACAGCTTAATCTTCACATCATATCAAGAACCAGATCAGTTTGAATTGTGTATGAATCATTCAGCCTGATTTGTGATTCAGATTTTTGTTCGATTCAATATCATTGTTGAAGCATATTTTAAGATGCAACTGAAGGACACAAATACTAAAATTTTGCAAATAATTCACACCAATCTTTTTCAAGTCCAACTGAAAATTGTCATTTTTTGAAAAAGTTCAGATATCTGAATGGAATATTTGACTTCTGAATAAGAAAACAGTAAAAAAAAAAATGGATTGATCATTCATAAAGCAGCACTATTTTTTTGTTTTGTTAATGTGCTTGTTTTTTTTTTGTGCCATCAACATCACAAATATGCTTTCATATGGATTAGTTTTGCAATCTCTTTATGAACTTTTTGAAGCGTTAAAGTGGTAGTTGCGTAGCTGTCAATGGAGGAACAGAAAGCTCCCAGATCTTCATTTGTGTTCCAAACATAAACAGAAGTCTTACGGGTTTGGAACGACATGAGGGCGAGTAATTAATGACATAATATTCTTTTTTGGGTGAACTATCTCTTTAAGGTATTATAATACAAAGGGTTTTTTCTTTCTTTTTTTTCATGTCCAAAGCAGAATTTTTCAATTTCAGAAAAAAAAAAGGTTTTTTTTTTTTTGTAAAATGAACAATATGCCAGACTCAATGTGAATTTATGAAGGTCATATTGTTTACGTCAACAAATTTATACTTGGTGCAAATAGACCAAGTTTGCGATGGTGATAAGCTACCGAAGACACATTCATGTCCCCTTTCAAAGAGCACCAGTGTGTGAGTTCTCCCTCACCCAAGGTGGCACGAGAGATGAGACGCTCTCCTGAGAACATCAATAATTTGAGGGTTATGTGCAGACACCAATGACTGATAGGGAACGAAAATGTAGTAGATAGATGACACAAAGGAGCGGGGCGCCTTGACTGATGTTGCTACTTAAGCGCCGTGCGTTTTCTAATTATGTGATTTATGACCATCATTGCAGATTCACTGGCTCACTCTTTTCCAGACCACTCGGCTCTCCTCGCCTCCTTCTACCTCCTCGCTCCATTATTGCAGCATTTATCTGCCGAGAGGACATTTTAAGAGATCCTTTTAATTAACCATCTTACACACTCTCTAAGCCGGGTAACCAGTTATTCAACGCAAATTAAGTTTTAAACAAGTGCGCATGGGTGCATGCAAATGGGCACCTTTTAAATGTTTTGTCGTTGTATCAGAAGTGAGATAACGACGCAAGCTGCGGTTCTGATTGTTGCGGTTTTAGGATATCGAGGGAAAGAGTGGACTTTCATATTCATTCTGGGGAGGCAATCTCATCAAATTCATTCTTTCTGTTTGTATCATAGTGATTAAAATGCAGACAAAACACAGAGGGACTGGCAATACCTCCTTTTTGACAACCTCTCACTCTGTGTGTGGCCCTGTAGCCTAGTCTACGCTAATTCTCCACATACACACTGCATGAAATTGAGCAATGTTTAGCTCCAACAAAGAGGCTGAACTTTTCCGACAAACTTTACGAACATTTCAAAACCCAGAATCCTTACAACTCCTTTCACGATTGCTGTTGCTAGTGACATTTTTGTTACAGGGCATATCCTGCTAAATGGCATTCATAGTACAGACTGTTATTTAGACAAAAAGAGAGATCTACGGAACATTTCAGACCTTCACATTTTCGCACTCATTAAGTGACCGTCACCCATGGCGACGCACCTTGGTGATGTGGTTTCCATAGTGAGCAGGGGAGAGGTTGGCGGCTTTTAGCTACAGAGTCAGGGCTGAGTGCATGGCCAATGACAGGTCAATCAGTTAGCGCAAATGAAAGAATTTCGCAAACAGGAGGCCCATTACAGCGAAGAGAATTACCTCAACGCTGTCTACCCAGTGGGGTGCTGCCTACAATCTAGATTTCTTTCAATCACAGCTCATTACCCAGGTGCAAAAAAATCCAAGGAGAAGATTTCTGTTCTCTTTACACTCTTTTCACTGTGAAGTCAAAGACGAATTCTGCCAACAATACGCTCCAACTGCTAGATCCACGTTTTGCGTCGGAGCACCCAAAGTGTCTGCATTATAGACCAAAACTGAGTAAGATGTCCATGAGCCAAAGAGATGTTGACTCAATTTACTTACACATTTTATTAACTTGAAGTTAATAAGCAGTAATGCACAATAAAGCTTTCAAAAAAAGAGTGTGATTCACCATGCAGACATATAATGTTAAAATTTACAGCCATTAATATCCGTTTATGGAAACTAAGCTGCAATAAAAATTATGCTTTGTGTGCACTATTACAGTAGTTCAAGTGAGAAAATTACTGAGGTTGTTTCAGGATGGCTGTTAAAGGGTTAGTTCACCCAAAAATGAAAATTATCCCATAATTTATTCACCCTCAAGCCATCCTAGGTGTATATGACTTTCTTCTTTAAGCCAACCACAATCTGAGTTACATTAAAACATATCCTGGCTCTTCCTAGATTTATAATGGGAGTTGGTATCCTACATTTTGAAGCCCAAAAAAGCTCATCCATCCATCATAAAAGTAAACCATACGGCTCCAGGGGATTAAAGGATTAGTTCACTTTTTAAAAAACTTTTGCTGATAATTTACTCACCCCCATGTCATCCAAGATGTCCATGTCTTTGTTTCTTCAGTCGAAAAGAAATTTATGTTTTTGATGAAAACATTCCAGGGTTTTTCTCCATCTAATGGACTCCAATGGTAGCCAAACGGTTCAAGGTCTAAATGACCGTTTTAGTTCAGCTTCAAAGGGCTTTAAACGATACCAGACGATGAATAAGGGTCTTATCTAGAGAAACGATCTGTCATTTCAAAAATAAATAAAAAAGTTAAATTGTTATAGGCACAAATGCTCGCCTTGCGAACTCTCCTGTTCGAACTCGTTCATCAAAATGAACGAATCTTTTTTCGAGTCATTGACTCGTTCATCAAAATGAACAAATCTTTTTCGAGTCATTGACTCGAAAAAAGATTTGTTCATTTTGATGAACGAGTTCGAACAGGAGAGTTCGCAAGGCGAGCATTTGTGCCTATAACACTTTAACTTTTTTATTTATTTTTTAAATGACCGATCGTTTCTCTAGATAAGACCCTTATTCATCGTCTGGTATCGTTTAAAGCCGCACTGAAACGGTCATTTAGACCTTGAACCGTTTGGCTACCATTGAAGTCCATTATATGGAGAAAAATCCTTGAATGTTTTCATCAAAAACATTAGTTTCTTTTCGACTGAAGAAAGAAAGACATGGACATCTTGGATGACATGGGGGTGAGTAAATTATCAGCAAAAGTTTTTTTAAAAGTGAACTAATCCTTTAAGAAAGACCTTTTTGTGAGAAAAATATCCATATTTATAACTTTATAAACTATAATCACTAGCTTCCGGTAACAGCCGTAAGAGAGTCTAGTTCCGGCAGAAGAATGACCTCTGACCTGACGTATGACGTAAGATATAGGAGTAGCATAAGCTTAGGAGAGAGTAGACGCCTCTCGCGATTCAAACAAACAGGGCTGGGCAACAAAATCAAAGCTCCTCTTCTCTTATTCGAAATCCTACGACATTTCTCTTTAAAAAGAGACTTCTAATTCATAACCGCTGTTTTGTTTTGCTCTATCCATCTCTGTGCTTCCGCGTTCGTCAATACATCATGCGTCGGGTCAGAGGTCATTCTTCCGCCGGAACTAGACTCACGTACGGACCGAAAGCCAGTTATTTATTTTTAACGTTTATAAAGTTATAAATATGGATCTTTTTCTTACAAAAATGCATTGCTTCAGAAGACCTTTATTAACCATGAAAGTACTCCATACGGCTCCAGGTGATGGATGGATGCGCTTTTTTTTGGCTTCAAACACTCCGGTGTACTCACTCCCATTATAAAGCTTGGAAGAGCCAGGATATTTTTTAATATAACTCCAATTGTGTTTGGCTGAAAGAAGAAAGTCATACACACCTAGGATGGCTCGAGGGCGAGAAAATTATGGGATAATTTTCATTTTTGGGTGAACTAACCCTTTAAGGGAAAGAAATGTTCATTAAGACCTTTTAAAACCAATTTTGTGACAAAGATATAAATATTTTATTATTATTTTTAGGTGTCAACATGTAAACAGTTTTATGAAATTGAGACCATAAAGGTAAAAAAAATAAAAAGCTTATATTTGTTAGTCTTTTGAGGAGACTCAAATGTTCATCAATGTGGAAAATGGTTATGGAAAACTAAAAAAAAAATATTTTGAATGATGTAAGACATCTTGAATAACATTAAAAATGGTAGATGTAAAAAAAAAAAAAAAGACAGTGTAAAATATGGTCCCTTTAAAGCATCCCATCCTGATCAGAGCACTTGAAGCAAGCAGTTTGTATCGGGGCGGGATGTAAGCTCACTGGAGCTGTGATAGATGAGGTGTACAGCTGGATCAAGGATGGGATGGGGCGGAGAGAGACTGAATGAAGATGGACAGGGGAGAGAAAGAATGAGACGGTTGAAGGTAAGCCGTACCTGTCCAAGGATCCCCCCCATCATGCTCCATATGGCTTGGCCCTCGGCCCTCAGCTGGCCATTGACATTCTGCAGGTCCTCCAGAGACTCGCACAGCTGTGGCAGATAAAACCGCGGCAAGGCGGGAGATAAGATAAGACAAGGACAAGTTGGGCAGCTCTGTCTGTTAGCGCACACACACACACACACACACGCACGGATGGACTAACGTATACAAATCCAAAGGCGTACACAAACCTGTGGACATCTGAATGACTAATACACAAATACGCTTTTAGTGCGTTACAAAAAAAAACAGGCTGATTCCAGGCAAGCAACAAACGCTACACATCAAAACACCCTCACACACACACAAAAAAAAAACATTTTCTACTTTTAACAGATTCAGAGCCCAGCACACCATGAAATATTCCATTACACTTCCTGCGTCTACATTTCTCTTTCTCGCACACACACGCACCGCTGTGGCATTTCGCCGTGTAGGGGCCACTCTCAGCTCCAGACAGTAGATAAGCGTCAGGCAGGCGTTTGATAAAGACGATGATGAGAGGAAACAGTGGAGAGGTGAAGTTATTATGGGTATGTGAAACGAAACTAAAGAGAGCCACCCTTATCTCCGCTGTCTGTGAAGATGAGGCTCCACGTGGGGAAGCTTGAGCTAACATTTAAAACCGTCTCCTCTCCAACACACACTCCAGATTAATACTGATGGCTCAGCGGGGTCCAAAACATAATAATGCAACTATTTATATAGTTAAATATCATTCATTGATTTGTTTTTTTACAAAAAATCAATTAATAACAATAGCTGTTTTTCCACCGCCGAGCCAAACCATTCTCATAGCATAACCGTTTCATTCTGTACCGATCCGGCCCAGCCCAGCCAGTTACATGTTCTACTGTCGGGCTGATAACGGAGCACTTTGAGATGTAAATAGCAGCCGTGTTATGGAGGACGATCAGATATTTCTTTTAATTGTATTATTAACTTGATTATTAACATCAATCAAATAGCATGCTTGGCCAGCTACAGAGAAACTAGTAGGCAGGCAACAGACAACTGACCAATCGTAAGTGGCGATGTCACTACACGCACTCTACACACTGTGCTGAGTATTCCGGACCGAGGGCGGTTTGTAACCGTGCTGGTCCGAACCAAGCTCAAGAGGAAATATAATCGGAACCGTTCCATGTTCTTAGAACCGCTTTTTGGTGGAAAAGCGGCTAAAGTTTAAAGTTTAAAGTCTAAAGTCATGTCTTTGGGCACCATTTCACTCTAAAATGAACATTCTGTCATCATTTATTTTTTTCTGTCAAAGATATTTTAAAGAAGACTGGGGTCCAAACATTTTTAAAAACATGTTGTGTTCCACAGAATAAAGAAATGCATCCATTTCCAGTTCCAAGAAGAAGAAAAACCAACACATGGTTATGTTTTTTTTTTTTTTGAATATTCAGCACAAATAATACCATTACTTTTATATAAAAAAATTACTCATACCTGTTACCATAATAAATCTTGAAGTCATCAATATACAGTGATAATAAACACCATACGCTAACAATAAAATTCTCTTGTTGGTGATGGTTTGCAATTATACAATTTTAAAAATGTCAAACCCAACAATCAAACTAAAAGCAAAAAAACTATGTAACATACTATATAATTCAGGATTATTAGACACAATTTTAAGATGACTCAGACCACTGCTTTAGACAACTTTTGTGAATAAGCAGTCAGCTTTCCACAGATGTTGATTTCCTCAGGATCTCTCTCCAAGGCCAACATCGTGCTAATGCATGTTGAGTGCCATAATTAACAACACACACTCCATTAATACCGCTTAATACATGTGGCACAGAAAGACTAGACGCCACATTAACTCCAACTTCTCGCTTTCATTCTACTCCTTATTGGGACAGATGAGAAAACACAAAAATCTACCCAAATCTGCTTCAAGAGATCACGTTCACAAGGATTGAGGGTCGGTGGCAAATAAATAAAGCAGCACAGAACATTAGCTGCTGTTATACCATACCAGGGGTTTTGAAAATTTCACGAGTTTTTATTTTTATTTTGTTTGGATTTTGTTTTACAAAACTACATTAAACTAACAACAACTATTAAAATGGCTCTTGTTCGTTTTTCTTTTAGAGCTTTAGAGTAATCAGTCTTTTGCCAAATTTTTATTTTAGTTAACAAAAGTGTTATTCACTGCCAGTTTTTGTCATCTAATTTTCTGTTAACAAACATAACCTTGTGTTATTCAGGATTTTTGCAGGATCAGCTTTTTTATTTCTCTCTGCAGTTGGTCTGGAATAAAGTAGCTTAAAATGAGATTTCACAGTTGCATAGTAAATTGAAAGACTGAAGCATAATTGGCATTATTTAGTAGCTGTTCAGGAGCTACGCTCTTGGGATAATATTCCAGCGGTGCGTCATTATTTCCTGGTGTGCATGCCTCTTCTTAAGCACCAATAGCCAAAACAAATGTGCTACGGACAAGCGCTAATGTACAAAACAGATGCTAGCGAGAGCCTGGAGTGTCAACAATAGGCAGACCTTATCGTACTCCATGTGCAGCTTCTCCTGCTCACTCTCCAGCTTGTCTTTGAGGTTCTTCTGTTCCACGATGTTGTCCTGGATCTGAATCATCCTCATGTTCCGCTCTGAATACCAAAAGACAAACAAATCGATACTGAGATTGCTATCAGAGTACAGGAAAAAGTATATCAAAAGAAGATTGAGGGAGAAAGCATGAAAAAAAGAGGAACGTTGGGAGAAAAAGAGGGAGAGAAAGTGCACTGATAGAGGATAGGCCTCCTGCTGGAACCTAATGGAGTGTGTGCCCAAGGTTACTCCACACATCTGCTCTTAACATCACTCATTTGGAGGGCAAGTGCCTAGCTACAAGGCTACAGAGCGGGATGCATGTCTAGCGCTCACTGTCTGATACCGCCTACGGTTCTGCAGACATATTCAAGTGTGTTAGGGACAGTAAGCTACATGCTACAAACGCATCAATGCTTGTTCTATCCATTAAAAAGAAAAAAGCAGATAACAAAATAGATCATAGGCCTGATGAGTTATTTCCACTTAAAGTGGTGAAAATCAAGCTTTTAAATGTTTTTTATATGTCTATGTGGTGTTTTTAATATGATTTAAAGGGGTGATGAACTGAGAAATCAAATTTTCCTTGAGCTTTTGACATCTAAGAGGTCATCAAATTATAAGAATATCCTGTAAGTTTCAGAACTGAAAACGTCCTTGTTAGTCCAATAAAAGCTTTTATTGACACCAGGCTCAGCAAACGACTCGTTTTTCAAAGTGGGGAACTATGACGACAAAGAGGATAAAACACCACCCCCGCAGAAGAAGATCCACGCCTACTTCAACACGGCCGGTTTAGCCCCGCCCACCGATTCGCGCATTACACGAAACTCATTATAATATGCAAAACTGTTATCCACTCACAGCAGTGGGCGTTTACTTCAATGCGAGTCTTCAATGCGAGACGCCCATAAAAACCGAGCGTTTTTGAGCTAGGCTCAAAACTAGGGTAGAAAATAGCCTATTACTTATTCATTTGGATGTTTTTGAATGTAAAAACCAAGCGAACGTCATACGTTGACCTCAGACAACAATATAAAACAATTTAAAAAGCCAGTTCATGACCCCTTTAAGACAAACCATGTGCAAATTCATAAGTCAACACCATTGCTGAGTATTTTCTCCTTAAAACTGCAGTGAACCAAAGACAGTCTTAAAAATGCGTTTTAAAATCGCTAGTGTTTCTGACGTCACAAACTACCTTGTAACCAATCAGTTCAACGTGTGGTCGTCAACGAGTGGATCTCTGAACTGGTGCGAGTGAGTGGAGGCGGGGCTAATTTGCATATTCATAGAACCACGTATACTAAATGAGGCAAGGGTGTAGTTACATTTAAGCTATTTTAATGCATGAAGAATTTTTGTTTAAAATTGTCATTTTGATGATCAAACATGAGTTATAAAGGGATGAAATTATTGACTACAGGAGGACTTTTATTATTTGAATTAGCAAATGAGAAACCAAAACCACTTACCTAGGTAGTAGTTAACAAAGTCTGCCGTGAGGGCAGGCTGCTTATGTTTACGCCGTCCATCTACGCTTGCGCTGGTATCAGATGTGTCCACGGGGAAGATGTCTGTGCTGATACCCATGAGCTCGGCTTTACGCATCAGCTTACGAATGGCTGATGCACTAGAAGTGAGCGGTCGGGGAAGCTTCTCTCGGGGCACCCACGCCTGCGGTCGAGTGTTTCGAGACAGCTCTGCTTTCGCTCTGTACTGCTGGAGCCGAGTGGTTATTCGAGCCTAGAGGTCAGGAAATCATGGACATTCAAAAATAAATGATGATTGATCATTCACTAGACTGTCTCACGTGTGGAAGAACGTGTCCAGATGGTAAATCTGACCTGAGCGGTAAATCTGACCTGAGCTTCAGGTGTGAGTTGCTTCTCTCTTTCCTGCAAAGACACTTTGCAATAGGACTGCAGGGCCAGGTAGTTCTTCCTTTTCCATTTCCTGTCAAAGCGGTCTGCGTGCTGCTTGCAGTATGCAAAGAATGGATCTGCAATGTCCTGTGGGTGAAAATGGATCATGACTAGTGTAGATACAGACCCAAGAGAGCTTAAAGCTTGAACCATAACTTGATAAAACAAGAAAAAAGAAAAGTCAGTGATGAATGACAACTTCTCATTAATAATTCTGAAAACAAAAACGCATGTAGCAGCCATGTTTGTGTGTCGATAAGATTATGGAACGTCTGATACGCTTGAGTGACAGTTAATCACTGTATCCAGGTTATTCGAGATTCTGATTGGATGATGTGTATACACAGCCACTGTAAAACAAGACGACGCAAAATTTTGGGGCTGTTTAACACCTGGTCGCTTCATGCATTTTTACTGACCGGATAGTTATCTGATTTGTTAAAACTGTTCCATTTACACTCGGCCACAAAAATGTGTCTCCGCAAAAGTGATATAAATCCGATCTTCAAGTCCACATTGACGAAAGGAACAGATATGCACTGTATTTTATTTATCAGCTAATTAAAAAAAATTCAAAGGCCGCAATAAGAGGGAGAGCAGCATAACCAATGGTACGATAATTTAGTTTCACTACTTGTAATGAAGATGACTGAGTGTTAAGCTTCAGGATCTGATGCAGAATTTCAGTTTAATTAGTTTGCATGTCGGCTTGCTGAAGAGCTACTCGGCAATTCATATGCAACAGGCCATATGTGTGGTGAATGCGATGCGTGTTCCGGTAGCCTATAACACATTCTCACACGTTTAATTTTTTTTTACAATTTTGGGAGGAATAAAAATTTGCATATGTGGCTTCAGCAACCGGATGCATTATCACTAGTCCAGTTTCGTTTGGAACACATTTCAAACCTCCTCCTGAAGTGCTTTGAGTGATCGGATTTAAATCGTAAGGCATTTACACCTGTTTTTTTTTCAGAAAAGCATGAAGAGACCAGGTGTTTGGCCCTTTATTGTGTGAAAGTTTTGCGTGGTAAGCCTGGCGTATAATATAATCCGTGTAATATCATATTAATGCATTTTCATACTGTATGATGCATACCCTACAGTTCAAAAGTTTTGAGTTTTGAGTGTATCGTTTGAGGAATACATTTTTATAGCAAGGATGCATTAAATGAATCAAAAGTGACAGTAAAAAATGTGTAACGTTATAAAATAAGATAATATTTCCATTACAAATCAATGCTGTTCTACTGAACTTTCTATTCATAAAATAATCCTGAAAAAATGGATAACGGCCTGCACAATTATATTAAGTAGAGCCCAAAAATCTGCATATTAGAATGATTTATGAAGGATCATGTGACACTGAAGACTAGAGTAATGGCTGCTGAAAATCCAGTTTTACCTTCACAGGAATAAATTACATTTTAAAAAAAGAAAACAGTTATTTTACATTTTAATAATATCTCACATTACTGTTTTTGCAGCCTTGGTGAGCATAATCTTAGAAAACATGAACAAATCTCTCCAAACTTTTGAATGGTAGCGCACGTTGCGAATAAATTAAATAATCATTAATGTGGTACTTGTTCATCGTATTATTGTTACTTAATAACAATAATTTTAGCCTAGGAGGGACGATGGAACATTGTCTGAACTTTAGCTTATTCACTCTAACCTGGTTGATGTAAAATAATATGGTATTATTAGTATTGTATTTTTGTTTAAAGTGCCCCTTTGTGTATGTAAAAGGTCTGCAAAGTTGTAAAGTCGAAAGTGCACGATAAATAAAGTTATTTTCTCCCAAAAAAAAGAATAGGTTCTACGTCACTAGAAAAGACATTTGCATAATGCCCGCCTATGTTGTACATTGTCCGCAACTTGACCAGCCCTCAATTGTCATTTTACTGACGATTGATTAAAACAAATGCAGATGTCAAAGTCAGAGTATTATAAAATAATCTGCTGATGTCTAGAGTGACGCCTCGGCTGTGGTGCAAAACAGAGTTTAATCTACTTCTTAAAATGCACACGACTTGGAGGAAGTTGAGGGAAGGGTTTATGTCTTTGAGAACACAATCTGAGCTATTCCATTCAGGTTATTTTAAGATTTATCATCATCTCAAATACCTCATTATTGTTAACTTAGACAATTGCTGCAGGTTTTATTTTGAGTGCTTGTGTGCTCGCACACCTGATCATTTTAACGTACAATTTGAAAATGGAGGAAATTGTAGTGTCTTCTGAATTACAGGCTGACGCATAATGCTGCCCAGCACACCACTTTTTTATAGACCATCAGTGTCTGTGCATTCTCTGATAGCCGTGATAAATAGCTGGTCACAAAAGGCCTGTAAAAATTCCCCTCTCTTTTAAAGAACAAGTACATTTTGCAGAGATTGTGGGAGCTGAAGCCCAGGGGCAAGACAATGACTGATGTAAGGCTGGCAGGATTTTTCCAGGAATGGAAACGCTGCCTTTCTCAGAAACAGCCTTTTTCAGAAAAGGAGGGAGCCCTAGAACAATGTCAACCCGTTTCAGCAGTTTCAAATCTCTGCAGCGGAGACGTTAGCAGCAAGTTTATCCTCCCTGGTTACGTCTCCTAGTCACACGCATCGCATTTCAACCCCTCCCTCGAGGGCAGATGGAAGCACAGCCATTTCCTGTCAACCACAGAATCGTTTAGGCTTAAGGTGTCTCGCTGGATGCTATCAGCCCACTCACCTGTTGATATGAGGCCCTTTGCACAGCTGACTGGATTAAGTGGATTGCAGTGAGTAGGCACTTTTCGCCAGTGTTTATCTGCACTGAACGCCACCATCATGTGCTTCTCCAATATGGACTGAATATTTGAGCCACGAGGCTGATGGTCTGTGACCATGGCCTGGGCTGGGAATTTGTTCGACTGGCTGGCCTTGTGGTCTGAGCCCTCTTCCTATGCTTATGTGTATCCATTTGATAAACGCTTGCATTTGAAGTTCAAACATGCATGTGTAATACGTGTGTTCACAGAGAATCAGAATCTAGAGAATAAGCGATAGTCCATCTAAAGTTTACACAATTACGTATGACTTTGTTCCGTGTAATAAAAGAGAAGGAATTTATTGCTCTTTTTTTTTTTACCCCGTATGATTATGAATTGGTAACTAGAGCTTTCAAGCTACGAAAAGTATACAAAACCATCAAAATAATAATAATAATATTCCTTGATTTGTATGGTATATTTCACATTTTTGAAACCATTCAGTTTTGTGTGACAACCTGGCATTTAAGTTATTCACTGATAATATTCCTCTCCAGTAACCTCTATTAACCACTGCTAATCGAGTCAAACTTGAGAACCGAATCAGTCAGATTCATGAATTAATCATTCATTTCACTGAAAAGATCATGCTCAAAAGAACGATTTGATCATGAATCTGCTACATAATTGAGCAATCAAATGGCTTCAAAAGGGTTGGAAAAATAGGGCCTTTACATGGACTACTTTTAAGATATTTTCATGGTGCTTTTTGTCCTTTTAGAGCTTTGTTACCCAGTCATCATCCACTTTCATTACAGTAAAAAGAGTGGCCAGGATATCTTTGTGTTCCACAGAAGTCAGTCAGCCCAACAGGTTTTGAAATAAATGTGGGTGAAAAGTAAAAATTCATTATTTGCTTTTAAAATGGATTTGAGGACAAGCAGAATATTTTTTTTTTGTGAGAAAAAAAGAAAAGAAAAGAAAAGGAAAAGCCTGAAAAAGTTTGTTTACAAGCCTGATTACAAGAGGTTGACAGGCAGGAGAGTTAAAAAACACAGACAGGAGAAGCAACAACACATTACAAAGCTGTCATCACAAGACTGCGACAGAGGGAAAGTTGTAGAAAATAAACATCAATTAAATGCAGATTAAAGAGGATGACCACATAACACACTAACCTCTTCTGCAGCAGCTTCAGACAGTAGCCCTTCCCGTTGAGCACACGTAACATGGAAGAATGAGCGGCACATTCCAGCATCACAGCTGATGCAAACGCCTGTGCGAGCAAAGCGTGCGTCCTCACACAAACTGCACTCCTGCAAACCATTAACCCAAACAGGCCGTTGTGACACCAGCAAATGGCAGAAAACTATGACATACTTGAAAAACACGGCATTAAAAAACTTTCTAGCATTTGCTGACTTTAGGTCTTATTACTTTCATACTAATGACTTGGGATTATTTCTGTTTTTGCAAAGTCAAGAAAGGTAAACCGCTAGCTGATTGTGTAAAAAGAAAATCTTTAAACACCATTATAACAATCCCACATTCATTTACTGTATAGTTCGATATTTAAGATAAAGTGGTCAACGAGTCTCTAAAAGCCCATTTGACTTTCTCCAATTACTGGAGTTCAAAATTAAAATAATAATAGCCTTTCTCTTGGAGTAATTTCTTTTCACATGTACAGCACAAACCATTAAAGAAAGCCGTTCAAGTGCTTCTAAAGTAATTTGCTTCCCAGTAAAAGGAACCTCTTCTGACTTACTGACACATAAAATAATGTCAGATAGAGTAAATGTCAAAATGTCTACAGTCGACAGAAATTCTTGGGAGGGAAATGAAAGACGCCCTTTGCTCAAAGAAGAAAGTCAGCATTTCACATAATTCATCAGAAAATGTAATTTTTGTTGTTTCTGGTCAAATCGATTAATCGCATCTAAAAAAAGGTTTGTTTATACAGGTCCTTCTCAAAAAATTTGCATATTGTGATAAAGTTCATTATTTTCCATAATGTAATGATCAAAATTAAACTTTTTATATATTTTAGATTCATTGCACAGCAAGTTCGCCAACTGAAATATTTCAGGTCTTTTATTGTTTTAATACTGATGATTTTGGCATACAGCTCATGAAAACCCAAAATTCCTGTCTAAAAAAATTAGCATATTTCATCCGACCAATAAAATAAGTGTTTTTAATACCAAAAAAAAAAGTCAACCTTCAAATATTTATGTTCAGTTATGCAGTCAATAGTCAATACTTGGTCGGGAATCCTTTTGCAGAAATGACTGCTTCAATGCGGCATGGCATGGAGGCAATCAGCCTGTGGCACTGCTGAGGTGTTATGGAGGCCCAGGATGCTTCGATAGCGGCCTTAAGCTCATCCAGAGTGTTGGGTCTTGCGTCTCTCAACTTTCTCTTCACAATATCCCACAGATTCTCTATGGGGTTCAGGTCAGGAGAGTTGGCAGGTTAATTGAGCACAGTAATACCATGGTCAGTAAACCATTTACCAGTGGTTTTGGCACTGTGAGCAGGTGCCAGGTCGTGCTGAAAAATGAAATCTTCATCTCCATAAAGCTTTTCAGCAGATGGAAGCATGAAGTGCTCTAAAATCTCCTGATAGCTAGCTGCATTGACCCTGCCCTTGATAAAACACAGTGCACCAACACCAGCAGCTGACATGGCACCCCAGACCATCATTGACTGTGGGTACTTGACACTGGACTTCAGGCATTTTGGCATTTCCTTCTCCCCAGTCTTCCTCCAGACTCTGGCACCTTGATTTCCGAATGACATGCAAAACTGAGCAACAGTCCAGTGCTGCTTCTCTGTAGCCCAGGTCAGGCAGGTCAGGCGCTTCTGCCGCTGTTTCTGGTTCAAAAGTGGCTTGACCTGGGGAATGCGGCACCTGTAGCCCATTTCCTGCACACGCCTGTGCACGGTCGCTCTGGATGTTTCTACTCCAGACTCAGTCCACTGCTTCCGCAGGTCCCCCAAGCTCTGGAATCGGTCCTTCTCCACAATCTTCCTCAGGGTCCGGTCACCTCTTCTCGTTGTGCAGCGTTTTTTGCCACACTTTTTCCTTCCCACAGACTTCCCACTGAGGTGCCTTGATACAGCACTCTGGGAAAAGGCTATTTGTTCAGAAATTTCCATGGAGTTTGGTCCATATTGACATGACGGCATCACACAGTTGCCGCAGATTTGTCGGCTGCACATCCATGATGCGAATCTCCCGTTCCACCACATCCCAAAGATGCTCTATTGGGTTGAGATCTGGTGACTGTGGAGGCCATTTTAGTACAGTGAACTCATTGTCATGTTCAAGAAACCAATTTGAGATGATTAGAGCTTTGTGACATGGTGGAAGTAGCCATCAGAGGATGGGTACATGGTGGCCATAAAGGGATGGACATGGTCAGAAACAATGCTCAGGTAGGCCGTGGCATTTAAACGATGCCCAATTGGCACTAAGGGGCCTAAAGTGTGCCAGGAAAACATCCCCCACACCATTACACCACCACCACCAGCCTGCACAGTGGTAACAAGGCATGATGGTTCCATGTTCTCATTCTGTTTACGCCAAATTCTGACTCTAACATCTGAATGTCTCAACAGAAATCGAGACTCATCAGACCAGGCAACATTTTTCCAGTCTTCAACTGTTCAATTTTGGTGAGCTCTTGCAAATTGTAGCCTCTTTTTCCTATTTGTAGTGGAGATGAGTGGTACCCGGTGGAGTCTTCTGCTGTTGTAGCCCATCCGCCTCAAGGTTGTGCGTGTTGTGGCTTCACAAATGCTTTGCTGCATACCTCGGTTGTAACGAGTGGTTATTTCAGTCACTGTTGCCCTTCTATCAGCTCGAACCAGTCTGGCCATTCTCCTCTGACCTCTGGCATCAACAAGGCATTTCCGCCCACAGAACTGCCGCTCACTGGATGTTTTTTCTTTTTCGGACCATTCTCTGTAAACCCTAGAGATGGTTGTGCGTGAAAATCCCAGTAGATTAGCAGTTTCTGAAATACTCAGACCAGCCCTTCTGGCACCAACAATCATGCCACGTTCAAAGTCACTCAAATCAACTTTCTTCCCCATACTGATGCTCGGTTTGAACTGCAGGAGATTGTCTTGACCATATCTACATGCCTAAATGCACTGAGTTGCCGCCATGTGATTGGCTGCTTAGAAATTAAGTGTTAACGAGCAGTTGGACAGGTGTACCTAATAAAGTGGCCGGTGAGTGTATATATATATATATATATATATACCTTTTCAACATTGATAATAATCAGAAATGATTCTTGAGCAGCAAACCTGCATATTAGAATGATTTCTGAAGGATCATTAGACTGGAGTAATGACCAGGGTTGGGTACCGAAACTCGGTGCCAATAGGGAACCGGTTCCGACGTAAACGGTAGTAACCGGACCGAATAAGAACGAAAATTTCGGTGCCTGATTTCGGTGCCTAACTTCATTAGGCACACACGCACACACACACACACACACACACACACACACACACACACAAGGTCTCTCGCTCTCTCTCTCTCTCTCTCTCTCCGCCGTGCGTGTGCTACACAGTTTGGAGCACAGTTTCTTCTGTCTCGCATGCGCGCTCTTTCTCGCAAGGTTTGGCTGCATTTCACGTGTAAAATTACGTGTCAGAACGAACTCTGGGTGTGCCGATAGTCTGAATCCCATATAGAATCAAGCCAATACATTGGCTGATGGCGCGGGCGCCGCATCGACGCACTTACGTCGTCATACTATGTTGGCGCGCGCGCGCCATCTGCTCCTCAGATTTTTCTGCCGAAAAAGGAAGTTGGTCGGCAGCGCGAGGAGCTTGGCAGCGTCCCGTTCCCTATTGAGAGATATGTTACACCAACCAGAGATGTTCTCTTTCATAGGTTCACTCAACGCTGCGTAGCTAAGAAGAAGCAGTGGATTTGTAGGCTGTATCACGTGCCGTTTGAACTGACGCGCTACAGCGATCTGTCACATTTCAAAGAGCCAAAACGTTATTTATTGTGTGAATCTCGTAAAAATATTGACAGAATCTGACAGCTGTGGATTTGTTCCATATCAAAAGTAACCTTCTCTGTCTTGTCTGTCAGTGTCCTCTTTGTCCGCGATTTCTCTGTGTGAAAAGGGTCATTTGCGTGAGTCTCACGGTCAATGCGTGAGAGTTGGCAGCTCTGCCTTCTAGTAATCTCTATTAATCTCCAGTATTATTACATTGTTTGATACAATTTTGTTTCATTTGATATTATGTAAATATGAATTTTTATTTTATATTGGTTTTATTATTACCATATGTTACTTGTATTTATATTGTTTAAAGATTTAAGTTAATATTGTGTCCAGTTTGGCCCTGTAAATTAAAGGGTATTATTTTTTGATAAAGTGTGTGCGGTTTCATTTTCTTAAGTACCGATTTAAGAACCGTTTAAGCACCGGAACCGTTTAAAAAATACCGAGTAGGTACTGGAATCGGATAAAACCCAAACGATACCCAACCCTAGTAATGACTGAAAATTCAGACTTAACATCGGAGGAAAAAAATAATTGTTTTCTATTTAATAAATTAAAATGTATTTTAAATTGTTAATATATATATATATATATATATATATATATATATATATATATATATATATATATATATATATATATATATATATATATATATATATATATATATATATATATATACACTACCGTTCAAATGTTTGGGGTCAGTGAGAATTTTATTTTTATTTTTGGGAGGAAAGAAATCAATACTTTTATTTATCAAGGACAGTAAAGACATTTATAATGTTACAAAAGATTCTATTTCAAACAAATGCTGTTCTTTTGAACTTCCTATTCATCAAAGAAAAAAAAAAACTGTACAACTGACAGACCAACAACTGTTTCAACATTGATAATAATAATAAATGTTTCTTGAGCTTCAAATCCTCATATTATACTGATTTCTGAAGGATCATTTGACACTGAAGACACTGACACTGGTGATGCTGAAAATTCAGCTTTGATCACAGGAATAAATTACACTTTACTATATATTCACACAGAAAACAGCTGATTTACACTGGAATAATATTTAATACTATAACTGATTTTTGTTGTATTTTTAATCAAATAAGCGCAGCTATGGTTAGCAGAAGAGAATTCTTTTAAAAGTATTTAAAATCGTACCGACCCCAAACTTTTGAACGGTAGTGTATATATATATATATATATTTTTTTTTTTTTTTTTTTTTTTACAATATTTTTACAAATTAAATTTCCAGTTTTAATGTATTTTTGATCAAATAAATGCAGCTTTGGTGAGCATAAGAGACATCTTTCATTGAGAAAAAAAATCTTACCAACCCCAAACTTTTAGTGTAAAAGTAGTGTAACAATTTATAATTTCACTGTATGATGAATTTTGCTGCAGCATAAGAAAGAAATTCAGCATAAGTCAATGTTTGGGTCAATATTGATATCGGCTTACCAGTATTAATAACCTATTTTTGAGAAAATTATACTTTGTTTTTTGTAGCTGTGTGTCATTAATAACTTCTGATACTTGCCTTTGCCCCATACTTTGAGTAGTTCATCTCTGTGAGTGTTACTGGCCTCAGCTTGTCAATATCTCCAAATGCGACACCTGGAACATAAAGGGCACACACCACGTGCACCCACCTTCAGCAGAACAAAATAAAGTTGAGTTTTCATCTGTAATATCTAAGTTACACAATTATCATAGTATAATGACAGGTTCTTATTCACTTCATGTGCTGAATAACAAATCAAGATAGTAATGATCCAGATGTCCACTATTAGAAGAACAAAGCAGCATCTAGTTAATGAACTACTATTCACTAGGCTATTCCTTGAATAACTGCTATACCCTTAAGCCCTTCAGATGAGAAAATACTCAGCTGAAGGTTCAAATGTACTCTAACTTGACCATTTGGTGTGACAAAATTTCAAATGCAGACTTTAGGAAGGAGAATCCGAAGTCCAATATAAAGATATCCATCTCTGGTGAGCGAACGCTCCACACTTTAATTTGCTGTGTTTTTCATGCTCTAGTGAAGTAGTAAATTTGGGTGCAGGCGGGCTGAGGAGCACTATCAGTGATAACGTGGCTTGAGTCTTCACGCTTCAGACGCCTCTCTCTTCCTCTCCCTCTCTCTCTTAGCCCTATCCCTCCCTCCCTCCCTCCCTCCTAGCCAAATCCACCACCTTTTCTCTCCTTCACTCATCCAGCACAAACCTGTCCCTCTTCAAGTATTTCACTTGTTTAGCATCTTTGCAGAATCTTTGCTCAGAGAGTGCTGCAAAACTTTCAACGAATGTACAACAATTAAAGAAGTAAAAGGTGTGACGGGGATGGCAGTGCCTTTAATTAATCTACTAATGATGATAAAATGTAATATCAGACGAAGCATCGGTTAAAACGCACCTCCCCGCATCAGTTTCTTTGAAGATGCCGTCCTGACTGGGACAGAGTTCACAGCTGGGTGTAACGCCATTCTTGCAAGCGTCACAGAACCACGGTTCTGTTGAGTTCTCTGAGGCCGAGCTCATGATAGAGTCACTTTCACCATCAACACCATAGCAACCTGAGGGAACAAGAAAAATCAAGTGAATGTTGAGTATTTGATATTACTGACTGCTCAGTAAGTTCTTATATTATAATCCATTTACAATCATAAACAACATACTAAATTATCTGAGAAATATTTTGTATTTATAATATTTTTAAAAAATTGTGTAGACTACACATACACATACACGCGTATACATACACTGCCAAGCCCCCCAAAAAAAGTCAGTTTGGATTTAAATTGGCAAATGCAAATGTGATTATTATGCGTCTAGCATGTTATATATCTTTGACAACAATTCTTCTAACCCTAATTGATAGAGTGTGTAGCTTTTAATTTATTAAACAACCATGTAGGAAGACACATCATGGCCATATTCCAGGATGACAATGTCAAGATTCATCAGGCTCAAACTGTGAAAGAATGGTTGGCAGGAAGCAAGAAGAATCATTTTCACACATGAATTGGCTCCTCTGAGTCCAGACCTTAATTCATTGAAAGTCTTTGGGATGTGCTGGAGGAGACTTTACAGAGTGCTGGACTCTTGCATTGTCAATACAAGATCTTGACCAAAAAAGATGCAACTCTTGATGGAAATAACATCACAACATTCATTTCCATCAAGAGGTGCATCAATTTTTGATAAAGATCTTGTGGAGCCAGTGAATATGTTGACAGGGCAATTAAAAATCTGAACTACAGCAGAAAATATCCTTAGTGCTGAGCTGCATGATGTTGCAGTTGTGCCTGGCAGAGTGTCAAAAGAACAAAGACATCTAGAGCACAGAATGGTTTTGTTGCTATACTTTTTCCGACATAGATAAAAAAATAAGGCCATTTGATCGAATTGTAGCATCACAAGTCCACAGAGATGGAAGTATTGGGCCAATGAAAGTATTTTAATGCGGTCACCTTAATTTCCTCGGGTTGCAAAGACAATTACTGTGCTGATCAGGTTCCCATAACGCCCATTACACTCAGCAAACGTGCTCCATGCCACCAATAAGGACGGCAATCAGCTCCTTGTCAACACTACAGAGATAACGTTCCTGTTCCTAATACAGCAAACCGGCCCCCGGGTGTGGGAGAAATGGAGAGAGAGACAATCAAATAAAAGTTCAGATTCTTTACATACTCACCACAAAAGACTCAAACAGCGAAGTGTGCAAAGAATGCTTAAGCATGGCTTCTCTCTGAGCCCTAACCAGCAGGCTAAAACTTCTAGGTTTGTGGTGATAAACATGATATTGTTTATCACCATGTAAACAATAGCCACGTAGCCTGTACATCTCGTGCCTCCGATACGCTGCCAAAAACTAAAACATCTGTTTGGGTTCGATTATCTCTATCGCAGTCACGCTCACGTGACATTGCAGTTCTTCCTCATCATGAAAGTTTATTAGCATGCATTTTGAAGCCATATCAGTCTAAACTTCTGATTTATGGTTTTCTAAACGCACACACCTTGACAGTGCATCCCCTGAGTATTAAACTAAGTTATCTTATTGTGCTTAAACTGTCAAATACACACAATGTTATGTCAAACACACACAATGTTATGTCAAACAAAGTTCACATTAACAGTCGGTTATGTCTGTAAACGTAAACAGCAAGCAAAAAAAAATTGCATGTGTATATTACATCTGTGTTTTAAAGTGAAAGCAGCATAATATATACAGTACCTATTGCTATGCTGTTAAAATGAATCAAACAACTAAAGAAAAAAAGAAAATCACTCACTGCTCTTGATTAAATTAACTTTAGTAGCTTAAATAAGACTACATTACTTTCTGGAATAGTTCTGTTGGCGAGGAGATAAACATGGCAGACTGTGTACAGTTCACTCAGGGTGGGATCTATGCTAATGGGGCAGCGTCCGTCAGCAGTCGTGGGCCGGGCCTGTACAATGTGACATCACATTGCATAGAAACTGCAAATGGCTTGTACTGAGACACTGCTTATGATTTATGCGGATTCAAAAAAGAGGAGTGAGTGGATTTTTACCATTATTGGGTGGTTGTGTACACACTGCTGACACACATTTATGTTCAAAAACCATGTTAAAGTGAATTTTGCATAATAGCTTTAATATAAGAAAGCTAAAGGGATACATTAAGGTGGGCAATTTTGTGCTGATTGTGTAAGGTAAGATATGTTGAGCTTGACAATTTATGTTTGCCAGAATCATTCAGGTCACTTTATCCAAGAGGAAACACAAATTGCGTGACCATAGCTGTAACTGAAGCGCACGTGAAGAGCACACAGCATCTCTCACCAGTAGAATCAAATAAGAGGCTTTTCATACCCTCATCTTGCAGTCATTTTGAACCATGCGGTAATGGGTGCCATTACGATGCCCAGCCCGACGTTTATTTTCTTAAAGAAAGGTATTACGGGAACACTGCTGGCAACAGTTGGGTGCGTATTACTGACTAGGCTTTGAACCATAGGGCTGGAGCTTGCGATGATCAGTTTGCTGGTTTAACTGACTTACTGCTGAACCGTCAAGCAAATCTCCGATGTTCCTTTTGAACTCAGATACAAAGCTGGACCTGCTAAGCCACAGGGTGCTGGCTAATATGAGCTAAGCTGGAAAAAAGTGATGACTATGGGAGAGCATCATAATCCCTGAGGAGAAGATTATCCTTGTCAGAAATGACGAGCTTGGCAGTTAAAGAGCGACCTGGGGAAGGCTGGTGACAATCAAGAGGAACACTTTTAAGATTCAATGGAGGAAGGTTCGGGATGAGTTCAGAAAGAGTTAACATGCTAGGCTGATGTGTGTATGTGTACATCTGCAAGTATGACTGCAATCAGACAATGAGGCAAAGCGTGCTGGCATTATGCACAGTGTGTGTGTTCTCCAACAATCTATTCGCTAGGTGTTAAATTTCACTCTCACAATGTTCAAACAATGATGGTGAATGCAATAATGTATCTGCAGGCTATAAAATAACAATGAGTTGCTTTATTTGCATCTCTAATAGCAAAACTGAACAGAATAACTTCATTACAGTTCTGACTTCAAGCAAACGATTCCATGCAGTGATCATGATATACAGTATTTTCACAAAGGTCAAAGTAGCTCATGATCATGTAGATAGTTGTGTCTGAGCACCAATCTTTCATAACAGGAAATGACTATATTAAATTATCAATGTGGTGATGAAAAACTAATGGCCAGATATTACAACCTTTATTTTACCAGGAAAGAAGACTCAATGAGATTAAAATGTATTTTTCGGGAGTGTCCTGGCCAAGATATGGCCAATGAAAAAAATTAAACCATTTGTTGCATGACGAGTGAAAAAGACAATTAATATAAAGGCACCTACAACAGAACTGAAAGGAACCAGTCTCCGAAGGGTTTTAAAAAGTGTTTTATGCTCACAAAGGCTGCACTGAATGTGTAATATTGTGAAATATGATGATTTAAATTAAACCATAAATAGCATTTAGCAAATGTAAATGTCTTTGCTGTCACACTTTTAATCAATGTAATCCATCCTTGCTGACTAAAAGTAGTATTTTCTTCAAGAGAAATGTGTATTATTTAAGCGGTAAAGTCTACAATGTTAAACAGAGTAGGCAAAGCAGTAGAAAACAATGAAATTGTGGCTATGTTATACTTGTGGCTATAAACAGTGCATTAAAGTTATTGCATTACTCTGTTCATTCCTAAGTTCATTTCTAAGTTCTTATTGAACCCAGAAGATTCCTTTAAGATGAAGTCCTTTGACTCTTTGTCTTTGTCAAATGATTAATGAGGAGACGTTCAGCACAGCGATGTATTTCAATTATGTTCACTCCGTTTCTTCCCTAAATGCTAATATTTTTCATCCAGGATGAAGAAGATTTATTCAATATATCAACTATTTGCCATGTCAGCATGCAAAGCAGGACCACAGGAACAACAGAACCAAGTTGGGGGGCACGGGAATGAATGAATAGGGCCAATTACAACCAAAAAGACTTGGCAGATGAGAAAGGGGGCGGGGGGGGGGGGGGGGTATGAGGTAAGAGCTACGAATGGCAGCTGCCTTGATGTAAATCAGCAAAATTGATTCACAGCTACTGAAAAAAGCCTTTTGAAAACCAGCACTCTCTCTTTCACAAAACAATGCAATCATTTTCATAACCAGCAATGCGTGGAATAAATCATTTCCTCATTAAGAGGTGAGTGAAAAGAAATAAAATGAAACATGCAAGTGAAAAAAAAAATCAGGTTCTATCAAACCAGATAACATTCTAATTTAATACTTGTTTAACTCTGTGAAGCTGGTTTTGTATTGGGGATGAAACCAATGTGATTCAGCTGTTATTCAGCAGGGCACCTTTTTAAGAACAAAGGCTTGAATTTGCTTAATAAATCAGTTTTATTCAGCAGTGCTTGAAATGTTTTGTTTCAATAGTCAATGAAAGTCAAAAGCGTTTTCACTACTCCGGCATGTAGCTATTAAACACATTACATACTTCTCCATTGTGCATTTTAAAATATTACATTTTCAGGCTCCCATTCCATAAGCAGAAACTTTGTTTTTTAAACCAAATCAGTCTACACTTCAATAATTGAAGGAACAATCACCCCTGAAGCACTATGGGGTTAAGAACATTTCTAAAGAGCACAATGCCGATATGGTTTTCAGGTCCTATCGTATACATTACTTTACTATTGGATTAAAGTTACAACATTGCCTGGGCAACTCTAAGACTTTAAATCTGAGTATTTTTAGACATTAAGAAGTGAATTTAATTCAGTGTTTTGGATAATTATCCTCCTGAATCACTCGATTAAACATTAACTTCAGGTGATGCACAGATGGTTGGATACCCTCAGTTTTGACTATAATTTGTGACACTGAGACTCAGTTGAAACTATTTAGCAACAAAAAAAAGAAAGAAAAAAGGAATCCTAATACTTGACCACGAAGCACTCGACCTAAAGTGTACTGTTAGCAGTTCGGTACCTTGTAAACCTGCAGGCACACCACCCGAGGCCAGAGACTATGCTGCAA